AACACCTCAGGCCTCTGGATCAATGACTAAAATATGCAGAATATTAAATATTTCAAAGCACCAGTCAGACAACTAGTCTCCCAGAAGGAGCGACAGAAACCTGAAAGAGAAAACAGAAAAAAACAAAACCCCAAAATAAGAGAGTGAAGATTTGACAAGGCGAACAATATACAAACTGAGCCCTATAAAAATAACTAAAGCTTAATATAAAATACAATCAAGTTGCTGAACAGATATTTCTCCAAAGAAGATCTGTAAGTGGCCAACAAGCACATGAAAAGATGCTCAATGTTATTAGCCATTAGGGAAATATGCAAATCAAAACTGCAATGAGATACTATTGGGTTGGCCAAAAAGCCTGTTTAGTTTTTCCCATAAAATTAAAAATACATTTTTCACTTTCATCAATAACTTTATTGATTGGGATATTCTGAGTATGTCAGTTCTCTCCCTCGTGGTTTAGTGTTGACTGTTCTCAATTAATGTCTTAATTTGATTGCTGTCAATTTCAACTGTTCTACCCGACCATGGAGCATCGTCCAATGAGAAATCTCCAGCACAAAACTTCACAAACCACTTCTGACATGTTTGATCATCAGTCACAACACCTTCTCCATACACAGCACAAATCTTTTTGTGTGTGTTTCAGTTGGGTGTTTACCTTTCTTGAAATAATAAATAATAATATGCCAAGAATGTTGCTCATTTTTTCCATCTTCAGTATTAAAATGGCTACATAAAAATGTACCAATTTTGGTAAGTTTTTTTAATGCACACTAATATGACAGCTGTCACAATACAATAAAAATTGTTTCACATAAATTTAAAAGCAACTAAGCCATTTATGGAAAAAAACAAATGAACTTTTTGTCCAGCCCAATACTTAATGCCCACTAGGGTGGCAATTAAGTTAAAACATGGAAAATCACAAGTGTTGGTGAGGCTGTGGAGAAGCTGAACCCCTCCTACATTGCTGGTGGGAATGTAAAGGGTGCAGCCACCATGGAAAACAGTTGATTCATTAATAGGTTATATACTGAATTACTATATTATTCAGGAATTCTACTCCTAGGTAAGGACCCAAAAGAACTGGAAACAACTGTTTAAACAAATGGTCATAGCAGAATTATTCACAATAGCTGAAAGGGGAAACAATCCAAATGTCCATGAACTGATGAGTGAGAAACAAATTGTGGTATATCCATATAATAGAATATTATTCAGTCATAAAAATGAATGAGGTACTGATACATGCTACACAGTATCTTGCAATATTGTTAGTGCAACAAATCACACACAAAAGGCGACATACTGTATGATTCCATTCATATGAAATATCCAGAACAGACAAATCCATAGGGACAGAAAACAGATTAGTGGTTGCCAGGGGCTGGAGTAGTGTGGAAATGAGGGAGTGACTGCTTAATGAGTATGGGTTTTCCTTCTGGGGTGACAAAAAAGTTCTGGAACTAGATAGCGGTGATGGTTGCACAACACTGTGAATATATATATTTTTTACACTTTAAATATGTGCAGTTTACTGAATTTCAGTTATACCTCAGTAAAGATATATAATTTTTAAAAGATTTTATTTATTTATTATTAGAGAGAGGGGAGAGAGGAAGAAAGAGAGGGAGAGAAACATCAATGCAAGAGAGAAATACCGACCAGTTGACATGAGAGAGAAACACCTATGGTTGGTTGCCTTTCATAGGCACCCTGACTGGGGACCAAACCTGCAACCAAGGCATGTGCCCTGACCCAGAATCGAACCAGTAACCTTTAGCTTTAGGGGACTATGCCCAACCAACTGAACCACATCAGTCAGAGCCTTGGTGAAGATATTTAAAAGAAAATATAAAGGATGGGAAAAGATACATCAAGCAAATATTAACAACAGCAACAATGAAAATATCACTCTTGGCTATATTACGTGCAGCAAAATAGACTTTAAGGCAAAAAAACTCAGTTGTCATAAAAGTAACTGTAATTATAAAAGTTTAATTCCTTTTAGACTTTGCATATCTAACAATATAAACTTACATAAGCATATTGTTAGATATTAAAATATTAAGTTGTATGCACATGTGACTTTAGAGTATCAGGAGATGTCAAATCCCTCTTTATAGTGGGATCCTTCAATATATCTCAGTTATTGATATGTTAAGACACAAAGTTAGTGAAAATAATGCAATTAATAAAGTTCTTTTAATGAATATCTGTAGACCTCTATAGAAAAAATAAGCACATATGATGTGAGTATACCTAATGCTACTGATTTATGTACTTTAAAATGATAACTTTAATATTTTATGATGAGAGAGAAAGAGTATGAACATGAATGACTTCTTCACGGTGCTTAGGGTCTTTGGAAATATCCGGTCTGAAGATATGCATTCATAAGAAGTTATCACATCCTGCTCCAATAAGGCTAGGTGGAATGTTCTGCCCTACACGTTCCTTTACCTGACTTCATGGATTATAAACCCAGTACCCACTTTACTAAAATTGGTTTCAAGATTAATACTGTGAGTTCCAAAGAAGGACATGAGCATTACTGACAGGTGCAGCTTCACGGTAGTTCTCTAGAGACTGTTGCCAATGACTCCACTGTATTGACCCCACTGTGTCAACGTGAACAGAGGCTTCTGTACAAGGGCCCCTGGACTCCCTCAAAGATCTCAGAGGGGAATGCTATAAGAGAGCAGAGGGAGAGTTGCCCGGCCCATGCTCCTTAGAGCACAGCTAGGAAGCCACCACCACTGTAACCAGAAAAAGCATGGAAACTGAAACAAAATGCTGCCCTTCAGCAGCCAAGGGAAGAGCTCAAGTTCTGGGATGCTCCTGGGATTCCCTGGCACCTACCCCCAAATGGCCTCTGTGCCACTGGCGGCTGTCCCGCAGCCATGTAGATAAGATGCACTTGAAGTTTGTGTTCCAGAGGATCTCCTGTTGTCTGCTTCACCCAAGCCTTTCACCTCTCTCCCTTTGGGCTTCAAGGCTCCACTCCACCTCTTGTCGTTATTTGAGATGATCTTTAGAATCAACACAGGGTGACAACTATAGGCTTCTTAGGTGTCTGAGAACTTTGGAACCAGGACCAGGTGTATCTTTGGCTCCTGAGGAAGGCTTACTTGATCTGGTTTTAATCAGTTTGGGCCATATGGTCATTATCTAGATATGTTTATATGCTCAGTGACTAGCTCAGTGCTCGGGCATAGCATAGGTGCTCAGTCTACAAATATGGCTGAGTGAATTAATGAACAGCAGGGCTGTTACCAAAACAGGCAAATCCCCCCAGCCCCCCACCCCTGCCAAAAGAGGCCATTATGGAGTCAAACACACTCAAATTTTCTTAAAAGCATCTCTCCTCTTCCCAGCCTTCTCTAAATTAGCAATTTCATTTTGGCTTTCTGGTCTCTAGTAATGGAGAAAATGTGTTACTTGTAAATGATCAGCATCCAGAATTTTCAAAGGAAAACTCATTTGAAGTGCTGGTACCAATATCTATAACCAGTCACTTAAAAATGGCTATTACTGGTCTGGGCAAGAAAATACACAAGATTCCATACATACGTTGTCAAGTTTGGCAAGAGAGATTTTAGACAACTTCCACCCTTCCCACCCAATCCCAAATAAATAGGGCATTTGTTTGTATTTCCACATTGACCTCATGAAGGAAAATACCTCCTCCACCTAGAAAAACAATCTGTAACATTCAGACATGGAACTTTGAGGGCAAACTCTGCAGTGTACACTAGAGCACTAGCGGGTAGTGCTTTAAAAAAAAAAAAAGGCTTCTCCTGCAAGCACTTTCCCCAAGTTCACACTTATACCTCGTTTAGTATTTCTATACCTTTCAGATATACAGGTTTTAAAAAATGTATTCTTCATTAAAATTGGAGCTAGAAGGATCCTTCTTCCTATATTCTCCAGTAACAGACCTGACCATTTCACTCCATTTGGGGAGAAAAACACAAAAAATCATCTTCTTTAACTCACTTTAAGTTTTCTGCTCTATACCAACTCTTTTAACTTTGGCAAAGAGTTAAAAGTTTTCTGAGGTTAGTTCCTGCGGTTAAAAAAAAAAAAAAAGCTAGATGCTTAAATTTAGACTCCATAAAACAATACTGGGAAAGTTTCAAAGCCTTGAGAAATTCTGGAGTTTACTGCCTTTTGTTAAATTGCATCACATCGACCACATTTTCTTTTTAATCCCTCCCACCCAGGCTCACTGGCAGATCCTACACCTGCCTGCGTGATTCAGTTACCTGTCGGGGGCCAGGGGCTGGGGACGAAAATCTACTGGTCATTTTGAACAGGACCTAAGTTTAACAGGTGGCTTTAGCCACCTCCTGTCAACATCAGGCCCCCACCTTCCTCTCCGCCTCTTAAGGGGCAGAGTCTCCCCAGGACATTGAGGGCCACGGCGGCAAGTGGGCCGACGACGCCCTCGCACGGCTCCGGGAAGAGCGGCGGACAGGGGTTCGTTAGGAGCACCCCGGACCGCTCAGCGCCCAAAGCTAAACACGTATGGCGGACCCCCAACAGGACCACCTCGGAGCGGGACAACGCCGCTCCCTCCCCGAAGCCCGCGACCGAGGGTGCACGCGAACCCCTGAAACCCCAAAAGAGGGGCTGGGTTTCCCGTGAGTGAGTGAGGCCACCAGGTTGACTACGGTGGCTTCGCTCGCGGTGGCCTCGCACTGCGCCAGTCTTTCCACACTTCCAGGAGACGGGACAAACGACGTGGAGGAGAGGAGGAGCGCGCAAGAAGAGATCCGAGCGAGGACTGCACTGCAGGGGACCGTGGGAAACGCAGGCAGCGGGTCACGAGACCAGGGGGTCACGGCTCTCCACCCGAAACCCACCCGACCTCAGCTTCCCTCGCCAGACTCCAAGCGCCGCCCGGCTCTCCGACGTGCCAGGAGAGGGGACTGGCTGGCAGGACGTAACCCCGCCGCTGCAACCCCTACGGCAACAGACTACTTCTCACTCACCTGGCAGGAGCCCCCTCGCTGGGGACCGCAGGTGTCCTCCCGGACCGCCACCGAAGCCCTTGCGCCGCGGGGTAGCCGGTCAGCTCGCGCACTTCTCGCCAACAGTCCCCCGCCGCCCAGCGGAGCCTTGGACGTCCCACCGCGCACTCTCCTGCTGTGCGCGCACTCACGCGCGCTTCTCCGGCGGCCACGCGCTCTCCGACCGCGCGTCCGACCGCGCGCGCGCGCTCACGCGCGGTGCACCTCCCGGCCGCGCGCCCGCTACCCTGCCCCGGCGCGCGCTCGCCCAGCAGCCGGGCTCGGCCCCTTCACGGGCACGCGGCGCACGCCCGGAGCTTTAGGGAAGCAGGTCCCAGCGCGGGTGCTGCCCTAGGTCGGGGAGTGAGGTTTGAGCGGAGACCACCGGAGTGAAACTCCACCCGCCATCTCTGAGTGACGCACGCGGAGAAAAGCAATAGGAGTTTGCGTTTGAAGCTTTGAAGAAACAGGGCATTCCCCCGGCTGCCCGCCCCCACCCCATCAGCTGTGAGAGATTATATTTAATGACACTAGTAACCTCTATGTATCGAATACTTATGACCCTCGGACAAGGCATTTAACGCGCACACGGTATTTCATTGAGTCCTCAGAACAGCCCTCTGATTTCTTGCCCCCATTTTACAGAGGAGGAATCTGAGGGAAACAGGCTCAGAGGGGTGAAGAAACTCGTCCAAGCGTTTTTGGACCCCATTGCTCGGTGCTATGTTCTCCGCGACTCTATCACTGGAAATGTCGACTGAGGTAATAGCTGGTTGTGGAAGGCTTGTAAAGTGATGGAAGTTAATGTTACCAGTGTTTCCCTGGGGGCGCAACAACCCTCTGGGGAGGGAGAAAGCAAGAGTTAGGCGTTTTTATTAATTGCAGGGTTTGTTACGTACTCAAATGGCGGACATTATAATCGTCGGTATTCCAGAGTGCTTTTTGTGTTTATCCCCATTTTACAGAAAACTCAGGAAGGAAGCGCTTGGTGGCCCAGAAGGGCTGAGTCACTGGCAGCCCTCACGGCTGAGCCCCGATTCCTTCGTCCTGAGATCATCCCTTCGCCCTCCCCAGGAGGAGATACCTGATTAAAGGGAAGAAAACTTTTTCTCTAATAACACACTGGCCTCGTCTAACTCCCTGCATCTTTAATTAATGTTGGCAAAGCGCTTTAATCTACCCAACGAGCTAGTTAATTAGGCAAGTAGTATTATCCCCCTCTTTCTGAACCAAATCCAGGAGAGAATCAATTCCGTCAGTCCTTAATCCTTGATGAATAGTGGACCTAAGCTTTCTGTTTACGTTCTTTTTTCTTTCCTTGACCACAGTGTTATCTATTGTGTTAAATACTATGCATTTACCATGCGTTGGCTAAGTAAAGGTTAAATAATATCAAACACCCCTGGGTGAAAGGTAATATAGGCAACCTCTGATAAGTGCTTCTCTGAAAATTTTCTTTTTATTATTGTACTTTTTGCTTGGTTAAGCTTTTAACGTATAAACATATTTCAGCTTAGTTTAGGCTTAAAATTTTAATGTACTCATCTTTTGTGTAAAAAAATTAATTTTACACAATACCTTTTCTTACAGGAGGAGAGGAAATAAGAAGGGAGAAATAGGATGATGAGGTTAGGAAGGAAGAAGGGCAAAAGAAAAAGGGAAGAGCAGGAAACGAACAGGGAAGAAAATGAGCCTGGGGCCTCTACCAAGACACCGCAGGGGAGTCGAGGCCAGGCCCTGCTAGTATGGCACATCCCAGATCTTCGTGGGAATGACAAACAGGTGGCCCTTCCTCTCTGCTGCTGCAGAGGTAGCCAGGGCCCAGCGTGACTGCCTGATCCCAGGCTGGCTCCCAGTCCCCTCTGCACCCCTGTCTAGACACCTTCGTGCCAACTGAGCACACACAAAAGGACTAAGAGAAAGGACATGAAGTGAGGTTTCAAAAAAAACAACAACCCCAAAACCCACAAGAAATAGCTTAGAGGAAGAATTTAAAGAGAGTTATTCATGAAAGTACTTAGATAATGTTCAGGAGGAAAGGAAACAAAGAAACACCTGGAGGGTCTTTGTATACACTAGTGTTACTCTGAAAACCTATGAAATTTATAAAATTGTACTTTTACTCACTAACTTTTTAATAAGTGCCTTCCAAGGGCTTGTCTTTGCTAACAAATATTAATAAGTGGTAATATTAATTAAGGGGCAATATTAACATTACCACTTAATATTAATAAGTAGTAATATTAATAACAAATATTAGTTGGTAACACATGACCCCCAAATATTAGACGATTGGTCTTATGAACTTGTACTAATTAAAACTTTTAAAGTAAACTAAAAAAGTTGAGCTAAACATGTTTTATTTTAGGAAAATAATTATAGTACTATGTATAAAATCGATTTGAAAAAAATGCAGTATCTGTGATGGCTACTAGAGAGAGGCCAACAGGAAAGGAAAGAGGATGGTTAGTAAGAAATTTCATAAGTTTTTACTAAAAAATTGTAGCACTTCAGAGCTGCAAAGGGAGATGTCAAAGACAGGACTTTGCTTCCTGCCTCTTCCACTGAGGACATGTGTAACCTTGAACTATTTATGGTTTTTGACTCTGTTCTGCATTGTAAAATCAATCTATAAAATTATTTTGTTTACCTGAATGAATAGCAGATAAGAAGGGTTAAGAAAATTATGAAGATGAAGAAAAACATGGTAAATTTCTCTGTTTACTATTGAAAAAAGCATATAGCTATAATAATTTAAGGTGTAACAGAAGAGTAATGACTATTGAATGATGCATATAATAGAATGGAATAGATAATCCAGAAAAAGATAGTGTTTACATAGTGTAGACTTTAATATGTGATAAAGTTATCTAAAATAAATAATAAAAGGACATTCTCAATAAACAGGCTCAAGAAAACTAGTAACTTCAAGGAATTATCAAATTGAACCCTTATCTTGCATTATGTGTTAAAAGAAATTTCATCTACATTAAAGAACTTTAAAACTAGAAGAAAATTTGGGAAAATCTTTATGTGACCTCAAAATGGGGAATATAAGAAATGGAGAAATCGTATAGGAAATGACCATTAGACTAGGTTACATAACAAATTAAAAATTCTAACAACTAAAAATATTATGAACAAAATTTGAAAAGGAAAAAAACTGAGCTCTGGCTGGTGCAGCTCAGTAGATTGAATATGGGCTGTGAACCAAAGGATTACCAGTTCAATTCCCAGTCAGAGCACATGCCTGGGTTGCGGGCCAGGTCCCCAGTGGGGACCACTCGGGAGGCAACCACACATTGATGTTTCTCTCCCTTTCTTTCTCCCTCCCATCCCCTCTGTATAGAAATAAATAAAATCTTTTAAAAAAGGGAAAAAAAAACTCCTGCAGAGCTATACATAACAAACCTGGTAGTTAATTTTATCCTCAATAAAGAGTACATACAAGTTGACAAGAAGACTCTAATAACTCAATGAAAAAATTTCCTCAAAAAGAAAATAAAAATGGTTAGTAGTTAGCTGTGTGTGTGTGTGTGTGTGTGTGTGTGTGTGTGTGTGTGTGTTGGTATGGGTATGTTTTAAAGTGTTTGTACTATGTGGTAATTTAAAAAGATAAAAATTAAAAATAATATACAATATTTGCACCTATTAACTTAGACAATATTTTCTTGAATTCTAATATTCACTACTGGCAAGAGTGCAGTTAAATAGGTGATTTTATACATTACTAGTGGGGATATAAGTTGATATAACTTTATTGGAAAGTAATTTTGTGAACTGTTTCAAGAGCCTTAAAATATTTATACTTTGACCCTATATCTTTTTTTTTTTTTTTTTTTCCTTCCTTTTTTTTTTGTTTTTTTTTTTTTTTTTTTCTCTTTTTCCTTTCTTCTCTTTTTTTTTTTTTTATATTTTCTTTTTAAAAGTGTTGTTGGCCCCGGTTCTTTGTATTTTTATAGAAAAAAAGCTAGGGATTCTGTAGAAATAATGAGAAATGAGCACAAAAATTTGTGCATAAAGTATATACTGTCTCCTTATTTTTATAATGTCAGAAAGTTTGAAACAACCAAAACATCTGAAATTAGGTGATGTTCAAATAAAACTATTATGCAGCTATTAAAATGAGAAATTTTTCATGAACACAACAAAATATCAATTATTGTTAAGAGTGGGGGGAAGGACATTACAAAATTGTATGTAAATTTTTATTTCAGCTATGGAAAATGCATTTATATATAGACAAATTAGAAGTAAATATATCATAAAGATAATAGTTGCTGTTTCTGGCTCTGATTATGTGATTTTTTGATTATTATTTTTAAAAACTTTTAGGTGACATCGGTTGATACAACCATATAGGTTCTAAGTGTACAACTCTATGACACATGGTTATGTGATGCTTATTTATAGCATGGTATATGTTCCAGTTTTTTTTTGTGACTCTATTCTTTTATCAATCAATACAGACTAATACATATTATTTTTTGTTTATTTATATTTTTAATTTCAGTTATTTTTAAATTTTTTTTCTAAAGAGTTTATTTATTTATTTTTAGAGAGGGGAAGGGGGGAGAAAGAGAGGGAGAGAAATATCAATGTGTGGTTGCTTCTCGTGTGCTCCGCACTAGGGAACCACAACCCAGGCATGTGCCCTGACTGGGAATCAAACCCACGACCCTTTGGTCTGCAGGGCGGCACTCAATCCATTGAGACACACCAGCCAGGGCCATATTATTTTTTATATGAGACAATAAGTGCCCATGTGCATAGAATAGAATTTGATTTATATCAAACATACAAATAGATATTGGATAGATAATGGATAGAAGGAAGAGGAGACTGATGTACTTCAAGGATAATTTGCTAGTGAAATTTCTTGATTTAAAAAATAAGAAATAATTATTCAACTTCTACAGATGAAAAAATTACAACATGGAAGGACTTTTGGTGATGAGTTTAGAAAAAAACTTTTAAAAAACAAAAGAGAAATATTCCATACTTCCTGAAAACAAGTAGATGATGTGCTACCTTGTCTGTATTCCAGGTCAATGTTTGAAGGAGAAACATAAATGGAAAAAACAAATATGGAAGAAAATGGTAAATTATTCCTAAAATTTAATGATAAAAGTTCTGAAAAAGAAGCCAAACTCTAAAACGTCCCTGGTGAACAAGTTCTGCTCATGCAAGCTCTAGGACCTGCCAAGTGACTGAAGTCCAAACAGGAAAAGAAGGTATATAGTGCCCATTCATTCTTTTTCCAGAAATTATCTACGGTATTTTAGGTGCCAGGTGTTAACTGTGAGTAAGATCTAGGAGACACAACTGTGAATGGCATACATAAGTTCCCTGTCTACGTGGAATTTATATTCCGGGAGGGGTTGGGGCCATACACACAAGAATCAGATGTTATATTGGCTATTCACTAACAATCTGTTAATCCCCAGGTAGAATATGAGTGATTCTGTAAATAAAAATAGTAAAGTGGAATACATTCCACCAGAGATAAGCCTGAGGAGTAATTGGTGGTTAAAATTTGTTTGAGGACAACTTGTTTTGCTTCCACTCACCTCTGGCCTAGTTTTTGGTTTACAGATAAAGTATGTAAAACTGACTATTCTGCAAATGGCTTGGGAAGCCTGCAAGGTCTAGGGTAATGTGATAAGGCTGCTAGCTGCTGAGGGAGAGTGAGGCTTTTAAAGAACAGCCTTAGGAAATTTCCTGTGTAATTATCTTAACATACCATCTTCCCACCAGCCTTTCACTAACACCTGCATTCCTCCTGAGTGCTTTTGGAGTGAACTTTGTTTTCAGGATATTTGATTATGGGCTGAAATTGGCCTGATATGAATGTCAGGTAAGAGCAGGAGCCAGTGAGACTCAGTCCCATTTTGTTACACACATAGAATGTAGCACATTTGGAAGGAAAGGTGAGCTTGCTTCCTGTCAAATAGTAATTGACTATAAAGGTGTGGGTTTATTTCTGGGTTCTCTATTCTGTTCCATTGATCTGTGTGTCAGTTTTTATGCCAACATCATGCTGTTTTATTACAATGGCCTTATGGTATAGTTTGATACTAGGTAGAGTGATTCTTCTAACTTTTTCCCCCAGGATTGCTGTTATTATGCAGGGCCTTTTGTGGTTCCATATAAGTTTTTAAAAATACTTTTACTAGGTCTGTGCAATATGACATTGGAATCTTGATATGTAGTTTTTTCATTAAATGGTTTTGGGAAAATTGGACAGATACATGGAGAAAAATGAAACTAGACCACCTTACACCACACACAAAAATAAATTCAAAATGGATCAAAGACTTAAATGTCAGACCGAAACCATAAAGATCCTAGAAGAAAACATAGGTAGTAAAATCTTAGACATTGCTCATAGCAATATTTTATCGGATATATCTCCCCAGGCAGGGGAAACAAAAGGAAAAGTCAGCACATGGAAATACATCAAATTCAAAAGTCTTTGCACAGCAAAGGAGATCATCAACAAAATAAAAAGAAACCCACAGAAGGGGAGAACATATTTGCCAATACATCTGATAAGGAGTTAATATCCAAATTTTATAAAGAATTTATAAAACTCAACACCAAAAGAACAAACAATCCAATTAAAAAATGGGCAAAGGACGTGAATAAACAGTTCTCTAAAGAGGACATACACATGCCCAATAAGCATAAGAAAAGATGCTCAATGTCACTAATTACTTGAGAAATGCAAATTAAAACCACAATGAGCTATCATCTCACACCTGTCAGAATGGCTATCATCAATAAATCAACAAACAACAAGTGCTGGAGAGGATGTGAAGAAAAGAGAACAGTTTACATTGTTGATGGAATACAAACTAGGGTAGCCACTGTGGAAAGCAGTATGGAATTCCCTCAAAAAATTAAAAAATGGATTTGCCTTTTGACCCAGTGATCCTACTTCTGAGAATATGTCTGAAGAAATACAAAACACTGATTCAAAAGAATATAAGCACTACGCATTGCAGTATTATTTACAATCACCAAGATATGGAAGCAGCACAAGTGTCCATCAGTAGATGAGCAGATAAAACAACTATGGGACATTTACACAATGGAATATTACTTGGCCATAATAAGGAAGAAAATTTTACCCTTTTGGACATCATGGTTGGACCTTGAGAACATTATGCTAAGTGAAATAAGCCAATCAGATAAAGACAAATACCATGTGATTTCATTCATATATGGAATCTAATGAACAAACTGAACAAGCAAAATAGAGACAGACTCGTAGATAGGGAGTAGGATGACAGGTATTGGGGTGGAGGTTAGGGGGTGGAGGGATCGAGCAGAAAGGAAGGACTTATGGACATGGACAACAGTATGGTGGTTGCTGGTGGGAAGGAAATATAAGGGGATTAAATAGTAATGGAAAAAATACAATTAACAAAAAAAAAGGAAATGTGAGTATAGTGAGTGGAATACTTAACATTTGTACAATAGTTTGTATTACCTTTCTGCTAAGGTGAATTCTTGAAAACCCATTTAAAAATATTTAATGATACCATATTTCTAAATTTGAGGGCTGACTTTTTTCAAATACAATTCTGTTCTAACCCATGACGTAACTTCCTCTTTGATGTTACCCTGAAATTGAGGATCCCCTGAGTTTTGAGTGAGCACTTTATCTAGTGCTGCAGTGCAGGAAACGAGGACAAAGGAATCACCAGATAGAACCACGAAGTCCAGTCTGACCTCCTGCTTTACAGACCTAACCACTTAATTCCCATCAGGGCCACCAGGCTCTCAGACTCTGAGTCTGACCTGTATTCCCATTGGGGGGTGGTGGAGAGGAAAAATCTCATTGGCAATTCTTTGATAAGCTTAACATATTTTATTTCAATTTCTAAATGGGTGGATGGGTTATTAAAAACTCTCCTACAGAGAATGACAACAGGAAAAGAAGAGGGAAATCACACCAGATGCTACTACCATCCACTGTGAATAATCAAATGTGGAATTTCTTCCCTCTTGTCCTAAAATTGCAACTGAGGACCAAAGGTATTGGGTTGGCCAAAAAGTCTGTATGGTTTTTCCATAAAAGGACATATTTTTCATTTTCACCAATAACTTTATTGATTTGGATGTTTTGAATATGTCAGCTGTCCCCTGCATGGTATAATGTTGATTGTTCTCAATCAATGTCTCTGTTTGGTCACTATCAACTTCAACTGGTCTACCTGACCAGGGAGCATTGTCCAGTGGGAAATCTCCAGCACAAAACATTGCAAACCACTTTTGACACATTCAATCAGTCATAGCACCTTCTCCATACACTGCACAAATCTTTTTTGTTTCAGTTTTGCACCTTTCTTGAAATGATAAAGCATATATGGTGAAAACATTATATTTTGGATTTAGATTGGAAAATTAGCATCCATCAGCCCATTTGGTTTTGAAAGTCCAGGCTCTCTTCTTAGAATGCTCAGAATGGGAGAAGCGTAGACTTTTTTTTTTAAAGTGAAATTATTCTGCATGATACAAAAATAGGAGTAATTCCCTGGCATCTCGGGGTGGGGTATGGGATCCTGAAGAAAGAAATGGGAGGGTCCGGAAGGTCGAGGATGGGGAGGGCTAGCTAGAAACACGACAGAAAGCCAGGCAGTATGGAGAAACATGGTTATAAGACATTCTTTGTGTGGGAAATAATGGGACGTTAAGGGAGCAATGATGTCTGATGTTAAATGTGAAGCATTTGCAAATTTTATGGTAATGCCTTCTGGGACTCCCCAACCTTTTAACACCAGCAGCTTTTTGGGGTAACGAAGAGGTTCATATCTTATGGTGTCAGGAAAGCAAGGGCAGCTAAAGTAGAGGTAGGAGTCATGGTTTGAAGTCAGAGGACAGTAGAGAAATTGGTTATAGTGAGGAAAAGCAAACCCCTGTGCTTTCGAATATGTTAGGGAAATTAGGGAGAGTGTTTTAGGTTCTGCTATTATGATTATTTAAGTCATTTCATTTTGATATTAAGCAAAGCAATGACCTCAAGAAGTTGGAAGCCATGGAGATGCTTAGATTATGTAATATTCACAAGACATCGATCTATGGCATCAGGTCCCTCGTTCTTCATAGATGTTAGTGTATTCATGGGACCAACTACCTGTGTTCACCACACTAAGTGGCCCTTTTGGTTTCTCTTTCAGCTCCTAATCTTCTCTCTCAGATCCCTGACCTTCTCCTTAAGCTCTTTAAAGACGTTGAATCCTTCTTTGTCTCATTTCAGGGGTATAATTAATAATAATGCCTTATATCTGCATACCATTCCATAGTTTACAAAACTCATTCACACACATTTAATTCTCACAACAGTCCTGGAAGGAAGAGGTCGTTCCCATTGCAGAGATGAGGAAACTGAGGTTCAGAGAGTTCAGTGGTCTGCTAAAACTCTCATGTAGTAAGCAGCAGAGTGATGGTGGAGTTTACTGCTCTCTGCTTTTCCCCAGAGCTGCCTTTCATGAGTCGGTGAGCACCAAGTACGCAGCCCTTTTTCATTCATTTTCTCTATACAAAGCCAATTAAAGGATTTGTGCTCTTCTTGTTTACTATTTTCAAGGTTATTAAATTATTACTGGGGAAAAGCACAACCTTTATGAGCATTTAAGGAATAGCAATAAACATTAGAAATGTGGAAATCTCATTAGAAATGTAGAAATCTCATCTTATTAAATATTCAACTGAGTACAGTCAGCCAAGGAGATGAGGTGGAGGGCTGTGGGGACAACAAAAAATAGAAGCTGCATTTCCCAGAGAAAAGTGGAGAAGATCAAAATCCAGTAAGATTTTGATCGAATGCATCAGAACATTTTTGTGCAGTGTTTTATAATTACTAAACACCCACTACAAAGTACTACTAAATTGTGAAAAGATTCTGTGCTTCCACATATCAAATAAGTCAAAAACAGAATCATTCCTTGAGTAAAGTGAACATATGTAAAGCATCATCTCCTCTAAGAGAGACAAAAGCTGTACATTTGAGCAAAACCACAGAAGCTACAATGAGAGCATAATAGTACAGGGATTCATGTTCAGTAGCATCATCGTTTTGCAAATCTTCATGTCTTCCTTTGGTTTCTTTAGAAGCTTAGGCAGGGCTGGCTGGGGAACACAGTCTGCTTCACTCAGGTGCTCCCAGGCGAAATAGATGGACCACCCTGATGAACAATGTATTATGATGGGAGAATAATTGTTCTCA